AAACTCCAAGACATGCACCACAATCCAAAAGCACAAGCTCCAATATGCTCAAAACCATGTAAATAAGTGAGAACTTTGAGGATATTGTTCTGTGGAGTGATGAAACAAAACTGGAATATTTTGGGCTTGTTAATCTGTGGCATGTCTGCAGGAGGAATATGCTGAAAAGTACACCCTGCCAACAGTGAAGAATTGTGGGGGCTTTTTGATGCTCTGCGGCTGCCTAGCTTCCTCTAGCACTGGAAATCTGCAAAGTGTGGAGGGAAAAATGGATTCAGTCAAGTACCAGGATATCCAAGGAGAAAATGTCATGCCGTCTGTAGGGAAGCTGACGCTTGGGCATCATTGGACCTTCCAAAAGGACAATGATCCTAAGCATACCTCAACATCCACCAGGGCTTGGTTTCAGAAGAAGCCTGGAAAGATTCTAGAGTGCCCATCACAGTCTCCTCACTTGAACCCCATAAAATAAAAAAAATATAAAAAAAAATCTGGCAGGATTTGAATAAGACAGTGCAGCATGTAAACCCTAGAATATTTGTGAACTGGAGGCCATTGTCCATGAGGACTCAGCTAAGATTCCTTGGGAATGCTGCAAAAAGCTGTTGTCTTGCTTATGCATCAAATTTCCAGCAGGTCATAGCGTCAAGAGGGTGCTCTACTAAGAATTAAAGATGCTTGTCATGAAGAGGTTGAATAATTTTGAGTCTGCAGTAGTCATTATAAGTGGCATTTTGTGTTGAATTTGGAAGAGCCACTTGTGATATTTGTTGTGTGGAGTCATTTAAATTGTTCTTGTTTGATTAGTTCATGGCAAACAGCTGAAAGTTTGTAAATTTTGCCAGTAAACCTACAACCCCCAATTCCGAAATAGAGCGGACAAAGCGTAAATTGTGAATGAAATCAAAATGCAATGACATTCAGATCACATGAGCCAATGTCATTTACAATAGAGCACAGAGAACATTTCAAATGTTGAAACTGAGACATTTTACATTTTTATCCACAAAATGAGCTTATTTCAAATTTTCTGGCTGCAACAGGTCTCAAGAAAGTTGGTAAACAGGCAAAAAAAGGGCTGAAAAAGCAATTAATATATAAGAGAATCAGCTGAAAGAACATTCAGCAAGTAATTAAGTTAACTGGCATCAGGTGTGTAACATGATTGGCTATAAAAGGGATGTCTAAGAGAGGCTGAGTCTCTCAGAAGTAAAGATGACCAGAGACTCTCCAACCTGTGAAGGCTTGCATAAAAAAATTGTGGAATACTTTAAAAACAATGTTCCTCAACGTCAAATTGCAGAGGCTTTGAAGGTCTCATCATTGACAGTGCAGAACATCATCAAAAGATTCAGAGAATCTGGAAAAATCTGTGTCCGTAAGGGACAAGGCCGAAGACTTTTATTGAATGCCCGTGATCTTCGGGCGCACAGACACCACTGCATCACTCACCGGCCAGATTCTGTCATTGACATTACTAAATGGGCCCAGGAATACTTCAAAAAACCACTGTCTGTAAACAGTCCGCCGTGCCATCCACAGATGCCACCTAAAACTCTATCATGCAAAAAGGAAGCCATTGTTGAGCATGATCCAGAAGCGCCGCCGTGTTCTGTGGGCCAAGGCTCATTTAAAATGGACTGTAGCAAAGTATCCTGTTGTCAGACAAGTCCAAATTTGACATTCTTGTTGGAAATCATGGGTGTCGTGTCCTCCGGGCTAAAGAGGAGAAAGACCACCCCTCCTGTTACCAGTGGTCAGTTCAAAAGCCAGCATCTCTGATCATATGGGGATGCAATAGTGCATATGGTGTGGGACACTTGCATGTTTTAAAAACCATGAATGCTGAAAGGTATATAAAGGTTATAGAGCAACATATGCTCCCCTCCAGACGACATCTATTCCAGGGAAGGCCCTGTGTATTTCAGCAGGACAATGCAAAACCACATACTGCAGCTACTACAACAGCATGGCTTCATAGTAGAAGAATCCGTGTGCTGAACTGGCCTGCCTGCAGTCCTGATATTTCACCGATTGAGAACATTTAGCGCATAATTAAACGAAAAGTCCATCAAAGGAGACCCAAAACTCTCCAGCAGCTGGAAGCCTGTATTAAATAAGAGTGGGATCAAATTCCAATGGTTGAACTCAAGAAACTTGTCTCCTCAATGCCCAGACACCTCCACTCTGTGTTAAAAATAATAGGGGATGCTACACCATGGTAAACAGGCCCCTGTCTCAACTTTTTTGAGACCTGTAGCAGCCCTTAAATTTGAAATGAGCTCATTTTGTGGATAAAATTGTAAAATTTCTCAGTTTCAACATTTGCTATGTTATCTCTGTTCTATTGTGAATAAAAAACTGGCTGGTGTGATTTGAAAGTCACTGCATTTTGATTTTATTCACAATTTACACTTTGTCCCAACTATTTCCGAATTGGGGTTGTAATTTGCAAAGGGGGTTGAATAATTTTGATTGCAACTGTGTATGATGACAACACGCGACCTTCATTCCACAGTGCAGTGAGCGCACACTCTACAAGCAACACGGCCCATCCAGGTCAAATGAGGCCCCGTTTGCACAGCTGGCTGACAAGCACGTTAAAGCTTTTTGCTATTAAAGCATTAATTTACACATGTAACAGTTGACGTGGAATCTTGAATTTATTAATTTAATGACGAAAATCATTAGTATGCTAGCTAGCAAATAATTCATCCTGCTGACTTGGTAAATGGACTGTATTTATAAAGTGCTTTTGCAGGGTTGCCAACTTTGGTCATTTGCCTGGAGTGAGATTTCTCCCCAAACATGTGCATGCAGCGGCCTACTAGAAATTTTGGGCCGCAGCCGTCACCGCTGCAAACCTCTTACGGTCTAAACCTATAGGCCTACCGACGACCATAATTTCCCAATTATTAAAAAAGGTCATAATCTATGAGGTAAATACATGGGTGAGGGCTATACATTGGAATGCATCTTTTCATCACTCTACCTTGTCATTAAATCATGATCTGATTCTAATTCAATAGCTAATGTTTAGTAAACTGAGGTTAATACACTGGTGAGGTTAATACATGGTTTTGTTTTTTAGTTTGCATAAAACACTGACCTGAGGTTGATACATGGTGCAGCTTATGTTCAGGAAATGACTGTATATTAGGCCCTTAGAATGGTCCAGTATGCTCTTGTCTATCTCAACAATTTTGCTTTTGCTAATTTTACTGGGAAAAAAATTAGTGGGAAAGTTTCTTGAAAAATCTCCAGTTCATTTACTGATTTAACCTTGTTAACAAGTGTCAGTATTTGTGAACTGAAAGAATAATACATGTGCTCACAAAAAGTCCTGTCTTTACAAGTGCCTTCTCTGTAAACTGGAACAACAAATAAACTGGCAATGCAGATTTGCGCGTACTTGCTTACAGGAAGCCGAAGCAATGTCATAAACAAATATTAAAACAGTTATGCAGAGTTCAATGCTTGATCAATATACAATGTGTTCTCCTTTAAATACGCGCTTTTACACCCAAACAAAAAAAGCTGACGTTTATTTTCAGTCTTCTTTCATAATCCGATTAACAAAATGTTAAAACGATATACAGAATAGCCGAGAATTTTACCTAATTGATTTTTCAAATTTCCATCCTTGCAGTCTCGAATTGAAGCGTATACGTGAATTAATCTTTTTGTCATTATCTCCTCTATCAGTATACGGGCTTCCTATAGGCTTGGTCTTAATTGTTTTGATTGTCAATCAGGCATAGTACGTGGGAACAGGTTCACAAAATCCTGTAGTTTGGGTCACTGCATCACCTCACCGCAAGTCTCTGGCTTCCTGTAAGCAAGTACGCGCAAATCTGCAGTTTCGTGAGAATTTCAGGTTCGATATACTGAGTAATAACGCCGCGGAAACTTTAACTGGCCCGTCATTCTGCCGAATAGTCTTACTAAACTAGTTAATCTTCTGATTGCGCCTCACCAAATGAACCACCGACCGCACGTCACTGGTAGTTACCTAGCTGACCTATACAAACATGGGGTGCATCTCAAAGCCTAGGCTGCATCCTGAGTAGGTTGCATTTTTAGGGGTCGTCATTATCTTCACCTGCCAAACAAACATTTAGGGTAAGGGACAAGGTTGAATTAAGGGTTAGTTTTAGAGCTAGGTTTAGGGTTAGGGGTTAGAGTTAAGGTTAATTTTAGGGAAACCAGTAACGAGTCACTTTAACTAAAGCTGTTTAATCGAGATAAAATGATGTTACATCAGTTTGGTGGATGGAATTAAGTGATGACCCCTAAAAATGCAGCCTTCAAAGGATGCAGCCTACACTTTGAGATGCACACTAGCTTTCATTACACCTAAAACTTTACCGTTTCCTTGCTATGCTAAGAGTACATTATGCAACTTTGTCAGACAACGTTGAACTATGAAATACAGGCGAGCAAGTAGGCCTATCTTGTTTTGATAAATCATATTTTTCTTACTTCGATAACCGCTCAGATTTCACACCTCGCCAGTCCCACCTCTGCTTTACTGGCTCTGACCCTCTGACCAACACTGAACTTTTTGCCAATAAATAGGCAGCAGACGGACGTCACTGACGTAATGAAGGCAAATGTTTTCAGTGAATCAACAATCAGAGAAAAGTGTAAATAATGCATTAGACACTGGAGTAGTCTAATTAGGAGTTTAGAGCCCATGTAAAACAAGAGCTTGTTCATAGTCATTCAGAAATGAGTGCACGAGTGGAAAAATTTACAACATAAAATAATGTCAGATTTGGCGTGAGATTTCTTTCTTGAGCGTGAGAGCGCGAGATTGTGGCTGAATGCGTGACTGTCACGCCAGATGCGTGAGAGTTGGCAACCCTGGCTTTTGAAGCCACCTGACATGACCCCAAAGCGCTTAACAACATGCATCACATTCACCCTGATGGCGGAGGCTGCCATCAGGAGCAGCCTGGGGTTCAGTGTCTTGCTCAAGGACACTTCGACACGTTCTCTGGCGGTGCCGGGGATCGAACCAGAAACCTTCTGATTCCTAGGCCGCCCGCTCTGTACCTCCTGAGCCATGCCGCCGACTTGAACAAACTAGAAGCTTACACCATTATCATTCTCCAATTGCAGCTCCTTGTCTTGCTCCGGTTTCGCCATTGGCCGAAGCACTCAGAACTTCTCGGCAGATTCCGTTACTCTTCATCAAGCCTCGGAGGTGTGACAGAAAGTTGATGTGCTGCTCCACCTGACATTTTCTATGCCGGAAGACCTATTTACGCAGTTGTCTAAATCCATGCACTACGTCGCCACTTAAAAATGGACGCAATACTGACCTTCGCAAAACCTATGCGTGGTGAAGCTTCTTCGTCTCTTGACACAGGAGGCAACACGATGTTTTTATCAATTTGATATCGAACTCATCGTTGCTGCCACTGGACGCCGGCATGTCTATCCAGAAAAAAAAAAAAAAAAAAAAAGTTCGGTGTTGTGCAATTTTTCGACTCCCTGCCAAAATTCTACCCCCGCCTCGTGAACGCGCTTTGGCTCTACGCTACAGTGCGCAGCTCTACGCCAGAAACGCTGTTTCGCTGTTGCTGCCATCCGACTTCATTGACGTAAACGGCGCGAAAGACTAATTATTATGGGCTTCAAAACATGATAATCCGGATGATCTTGATCTTCCGTAAAACTAATTAGAAAGCTGTTTCTATCGTTTTAATGCATGCTTTTTTGATGACAGTTCTATAGCTTAACGTTGTTAGTTTTGAGGTGGAATTTACGCATGAAAGAAGGACAGCTAATTTCACTAAAAGTATCCCTTTTTAATTTTTAACCGAATAAACTGAATAAATTGGCAAGCTCCAATCGCGGAGTTTTTGAGGACAGTTCTACCTTTGCTAACATTTAGCCCCATTCGTGCCTCCGAGGGCTTGTTTTAACATTCTGACATTTACTGGCCCAGCGGAGTCACATGCCGTGCCATTGACAAAACCTGCAAAAAAGGAAATCGCCAGACACCACTTGTCCTCTACCGCTGCTAGAATCAAAACTTTCTTTTGTTTTACCTTGTGTCTGGTATCGGCGTAACAACGACATATTAAAGATTCGTTCGGCATCAACCATTCATCGTAACTCCCTCTCGTTCCTGGCAGGTCTCTCTAGCGCCAGCCAATCAGCGCGCGTGTCACAATTTCATGGCTGTGCCGTGAACGATTCTGGGAGGGAAGTTAGATTTCAGGGGTGAAATTTTGCCTTTTCGAGACTTATTTTTTCGGAACGAGAGGGAGTTACGATGAATGGTTAGTGCCGAACGAATCTTTAATATGTCGTTGTTACGCCGATACCAGACACAAGGTAAAACAAAATAAAGTTTTGACGCTAGCAGCGCTAGAAGACAAGTGGTGTCTGGCTGCATTATTTTAGTAAAGGTATTGCTTTTTAATATTTCACCGAATGACCAGAATAAATTGACAAGCGCCAATCACGGCAAGTCATTACAGAGGTAGAATAGCTGACGTCTGTATGCTGCCTCTGTGCATTTTAATTTGATTAAAATTATTCCGCAATTGGATCCTTTTGTGAGTGCTGGTTAACTTTTTACATAAAATAGCAAACGAAATGAATTTATACCAACAAAAAAGGCCATTGGGAAATCATTCGACAGTATACAGGGGTGTACAAAATGTCGGAATCACCTGCATAACGTGATGTCTTGTAATAGTGAGAAGGTCCGCTCTCTGCCTTCAAAATTCTGAGTACGATTTCTGCACTGTGCAAAGTGGGCAAGTGACCCATTCTTCAAGGATAGTCTCCAGATTTTAAGAACGAAAGAGGAGATCTAGTCGGCATTTAGCGCTCCAGAACTTTGCACAGTTTCAATTAAGTTTAGATTCGGTAGTTGTACTGGCCATAGAAATTTGACTTTAACCTTGTGTTCTAAGAATACTTTTTAAAATGTTTTTAGCTGCGTGTCTGGAGTCATTATCATGTTGGAATATGAAACATTATTAGGGGACATAAACCAATCCAGATGAACAAAAAGTAAGGTCCAACCATAAATACCAGTTTTGGTGACGCTCACTACTTACTGTTGGAACAGTGGACTCAAACTATGTGCAATATCAACATTAGAGGTACATGTCAAGACAAACTGAGAGCAGTGAAATTATGTCAGCATGAATATTTCCTCGAGTCATAATTAGGACCCCCCCCCATGTTTTCTCATTAGAAGCACAGATAGATCCAAGATTCCCAAATTAAAATGTGGACAAAAACTGCAACTGCACAAAACTGTGGAGACAATGGTTCCAAAATTGAAAATAATGTAATTATGGCACCATTAATTTTCCCATAATTCCACTCCCCCCAGATGTTATTAATTCAAGACTTAATATTCACTGCAGTAACACATCCCAACATGTAGACCCAACAGATCAGAAATGGAGAGGGGAGTGAAATTACAGCAGCATGAATTTTCCACTCTGCCATCTTATTATTGAATTTGCTGCAGTTACATATCCCAACATGTAGACTGAAACTACAAAAGAACTTGAATGTAGATCCAAAAGATCAGAAATGGAGGGCGGGGGGTAAATTTTTGGCAACATGAATTTTCACCCTTTCCAAAATTCTACTCCCCCCAGATCTTTTTATTGCAAGCACTATTGGACTCCATATTTGCTGCAGTGACATATCCCAACATGGAGACTGAAACTATGAAAGAACTTGACTGTAGATCCAAAAGATCAGAAATGGAGGGCGGGGGGTAAATTTTTGGCAACATGAATTTTCACCCTTTCCAAAATTCTACTCCCCCCAGATCTTTTTATTGCAAGCACTGTTGGACTCCATATTTGCTGCAGTTACATATCCCAACATGTAGACTGAAACTGCAAAAGAACTTGATTGTAGATGCAAAAGATCAGAAATGGAGGGGGGGGTAAAATTTTGGCAACATGAATTTTCACCCTTGCCACAATTCCACTCCCCCTAGATAAGTATTGAGTGCATCTTTTTCTTTGTAAATTTATTCTACTGGGGCCATTGTACTGAAATTTTCTCCAGATTTTCGTAACAACCCAGGTATTCCACAGATACAAAAAAATCAACGCAAGTCAGTCCTTAAATTATGTTTGTTCAAGTGGAATGACACAGGGAGTAAGTATTGAACACATGAAGAAAAGGAGGTTGACACAATTTTTGTGAATATTCCTTTATTCTTACAAATACTGAGGAAATATCAAATCTTTCACATAATCACAAGTATTATACATAACTAGTGTTCAATTTAGTATGGAATAGCTTTTCCATAGGAAAGTCAATCGTCTGGGAAAACAGTTTGAAAGTCGTTTGCAACGTGCTGCATCAATACTGTACCATTCATTCAACAGCTTCCCACAAATGGTCACCATTAACAAATTTTAAAATAACTTGTTTGCCTTGATGTGTGCCCATAAATTCTCTTTAGGGTTGAGATTAGGCGACTGTCCAGGCCAAAACATCACAGATAAGGACTGACACTCAAGCCATGCCTTTGTGGTTTTTGCAGTGTGTGCTGTTACATTATCTTGTTGGAAAATCACCTGTTGCCTTTTGTTTCCATCGTACAACTGCTCCAGGCTGGGAAGCAATCCTATTCTGCCCTAATCATCTTTTGCTCTGCATTTGGTAAAGTTTTTTGTGTTTTCCCAAAAACCTAAAAAACACACAGTATACACACAGTTTAAATGTAATTTGAAAACCATTTAAGTGCAAACAGGTGACTCAGATGGCAAACATGTTTAAAGAACAATATCAAGAAGGTTAAAGGAAGCTGATTTTTCATCAAATCGTGCAAAGAAACCCTTGTTCTGCAAAAAAGAAAATGTTGCAGGCCAGCTCACGGCCTAAGCCTTTATGGTGAACATGATTCGCAGTGGTTCGAGCGTATTCTTTGGCGTGATGAGTCAGGATTTGACCTGTGTACTGATGCTCCCTAATGCTGCCTTCGAAGGTCCGGTGAAAAAAATACATGCCAGAATGCATATCCACCACTGTGAAACATGGTGGAGGTGGAATTATGGTATGGGGAGTCTTTCCTGCATCAGGTTTTGGCATGCTATTGCGATGTGACAACTCAATCAAGGGAGTACCAAAACATTATGAAGAGGATTGCTTCCCAGCCTGGAGCAGTTGCACGATGGAAACAAAAGGCAACAGGTGATTTTCCAACAAGATAATGTAACAGCACACACTGCAAAAACCACAAAGGCATGGTTTGAGCGTCAGTCCTTATCTGTGATGTTTTGGCCTGGACAGTCGCCTGATCTCAACCCTAAAGAGAATTTATGGGCACACATCAAGGCAAAACTAGTTATTTTAAAATTTGTTAATGGTGACCATTTGTGGGAAGCTGTTGAATAAATGGTACAGTATAGGGCTGGGTTTTAAAAAAATCGATTTTCCGATTCAGATCGATTTTTTATTTAAATTTTCGATATCGATTCATTTTATTCAAAGATCGATCTTTTATTAGTGCATTTCCATCTTGCTTGTGAATATTCAATAACTGATCCGGGAGTGCCATCTAGTGATACAATATTGTTCTGCATGCATAAATTTGCAGCTCCATGTCTACTGGCGGACACGTCTGCACAAGGCGCTAAAGATACCCTGCCGAGCACCGTTGTTCTTCTCGAACACGCCAAATCCAGACAATCCTTAAATGATGTATTACATTCATATTTAAATTTGTAACGAGTAGCGAAGTGGCCAGTGGCAAAGTAACGAAGTAAAAGTATACTTTTTATCTTTTAAATGTAGTAGAGTAAAAGCAAAAGTCCCACATAAAAAAACAAAAAAAAAAAAACTCGGGTACAAATCCTCAAAAAAAAAAAAAAAAAAACTACTTAAGTAATGAATTTCCCGACGTAACCGATAATAATGAATAAGTTAATTGCCGGTAGAGGTATTTTGACTTCGTGTCATATAAATGTACATCGAGCAGTGTTTCATTGATAGAAAGCATGCTGCAAATGCGAAACTACCCGTTGACGGTAAAAATGTACTGTGATCCGTACGTAACTGCAGTGGACACGACTGGT